GGGAAAGAGGAGAAAAATCTTGCATGCCAGAGATTTGTGAAGATAATAGATTAAGGCCAAAAAGACCAAGGAGATTATCTCCTCTGAGCTGCTGCAGCTCTTAGGTAAGGCCTCAAAGCCCCACTCCGTGGACTGCATGAAGCCTCGTGACTGCTGATCCAGGACATAGGAAACTTGATCCCAGCTCTTGCACTTATATAGTAGATGAGCAATGTCCATTTCTTTGTTTGACAGGGTCATAAGTCTTCCAGCGAGAGGACAGAGCTGCTTTTCTCACTACACAGCTCCAACTGTTAAGTAAGGTGTAAGATATGGACTGATTGCTCTGGAGGAGGGAGCACTGTACTCGGCCCATCCCTGACCCTTTTGCAGTTGAAAGCAGGTCTCAAGCTCTGGTGAAAGAAAAGAAGGAGGAGCTGGATGCTGTCTTCATCAGTACAGCTCAGCCTTTCCCTCAGCCTCCATCCTGAGAAAAGCTGGACAAGACAAAGAACTGATTCCAGGCCCTGTTCGTAGAGCTGTGACATGCCAAAATAATTTTCTTAGAGGTTACACAACTTCAGAGCTTCCTGTAACTCAAAACGTTGGGTGTTTTCCTAGATTGCACAAGAAAATGGGTGGCGATTGTGTTGGGATGATCTGTCTTTCCAAATGAACAGGAGGGATTACAATGCAGGATGTACCTAAGGACACTGTGGAGGAAAGATAAGAAAAGAAGAAAATTCTAGTTGATGAATCTTTTACCCCACCTCCCATTTTTACTTTAATTTGGGACCTTCAGTAGTACATCTTGCTTTCCTCTTTCCAAGCAGTTCCCAACCCCTCCTATCATCCCCTACCTCTTTCTGATGTAACATCAGCTTCAATACCCTTCATCAACAACCTGCCCTGTCTGAGACAACTCTCTGAATGCAGAAGATGGCTGTTGTATGCCTCCCTCCTTCTTGTAATGCTTTGCTTTCTGTGTGTCCTTTTATTTTACTGGAATAAAACGGCAGAGTGTGTTTCTGTGAGAAGTGAAGAGCACAAAACTAAAACTACACTGAAAAGCTCAGTACTGACCAGTGAAGAGAGGCCTTGTCTCTCCTCAGTCTTTTGCTGGTGGGCTTCAGCTTTGATTCTTAGCTCAGAGAGATGGTCACAGCCTTGGTCTTTTGGTAACTCAAGAGGGAGACCTGGCTGGGAAGTCTCATAGGATTCCACTCAAACCAAAACATTAGGAATGGGAAGCCCATGACTGAGTCCTGTTTTAAAATGTAATGTTCTTCAGGATAATCTGTGGACACACTTTGTAGTTTTGGGAAACATAAAAACACACACACACATGGAGTTATATATCAAAATATTATTGCCTCTGTATAAAGCAGCTCTCAGACATTCTGCACAGCAGGGGGAATTTAAGCATCAAGAAGTGTATTTGTATAAAAACAAAAATAAATAAACTGCACATTTCCCACTTTGACTTCAGTCCCTTCTGTTGAAACACAGAAGGTGATCTCTGTAGGCTGAGGTGGAGATATTTTCATCCCCCCAAAAGCAAAGATTGTCTCTCTCTAGAAGCAAAGTGTCTCTGGAAGGTGCTCTCAGCCAAGCCAGGGTGAAGTTTTGCAGTTACAGAGAAACAAATGTAACATTTTATGATTCTCTCCTGCCCCCAAATCCACAAACAGCCACAATCTGTGCTTCCAGATCCAGCTGATGGTTTCACACACGTCCTGGTTGTGGTTTTGCTGTCTCAGAGGTGCTTCTGCCTTTCAAAGCTCACATGTAAAAGATACCTTGCTCTCTAGTCTCAAGAGAACACGTGGCACCATGTGTGTTCTGGGTGGTACCTGCAGGAGGTATTGCTGCTGCTTCACTCCAGGGCCTCAACACCTCATCACAGCTGCACTTAACTTGTACAAGGGGATGCTGCATGTACATTCATGACTTAGCAGTAAAAATACGCTATTAGCCATATGCCTTGATAGGACAGACACCAGTACAAAAACTCTGTCCAGGTGAATAAATATGAAAAGCATCACTGTCAGTTACTTGTCCTTGTTTAGGCAGCCTTGCTTGGACACAGGGAGCTCTCTAGCCTATTCCAGGCACACCACAGAGCTGCAGGGGTACTCTAGCTCCTCCTCATGTAATGGGTCTGCTCATAGCCTTTGAATTTAAACTTGTGATCATATTTTTTCTCGATATTTGAAGTTTCAAATGCATCACTGAGCACCATGGATGCAGGAGGTGTCCCCTCAGTAGAATTATCACTATCACAGTCACTTGCAATGCCTTCATCTTCTGCCACCTGTGATCTCTGAAAGGAAAAGAGCAGCTTGGTGCTGGGGTCCTCATAGAGCTGTGATATCTCACCCATCTGGACATGCAGATCATCTGGTGATTTCTGGTAATACTTGGTGAAATGATGATCCTTCCTCTGCAGGTAGTGCTCATCAGTGCTAAGTTTGTCACAAATCCTCTCCATCTGTGTTTGAAGAGGGGTCATTTCCAGGCATTCATCCCTGTCCGTATCATGCTCACCATATTCCCTGAGATCTGGGAATCTCACATCAGTGAGGGATACTCTTCCCAAAGAGGAACTGTGAGAAAGGGATGACTTCTCATTTCCTTGGGATCCTGAGGTGTCCACCTCATCCTTTCTCATTGGAAAGAACGAGAAACCCAAGGCACTCAGGTCAAGCACAGATTCACTCTCCAAAGAGAGACCTCCAGCTCCAGAATCCAAGCTATTTTCCTCCTGACCTCTTCCGGATGGTTGACAGTTGAGGTGTCTCTTTGCAAAGTGCATTTCAGTGTATGGGATAAAAGTACTGCTGTCTTCTTCCTCTTCTTCTTCTTCTGAAGATGATGATGAGATAAAAGAAGCCATCCATGGTAGCTTGTTCTTTGCTGAAGTTTTGCTTGTCTCCCTTTGGAACACTGGCTTCTTTGTGCAGATGAGATAGTCCCTGAAGAATTCCTTTTCACTGGGCTCATAGTGAAAGGCTCGTCCAGCAGCTTTTAAATGAGATAAATCCTACCAGGGAAAACAAACACAACACACAGCTCAATGAGTTAGTGATGGTTCTTAAAGAACAGTTTGATTATAGCCCATGCCAGAATCAAAGTGAATTTCTAACGGGACTTATGAATGCAAAATTGAGAAGCTGAAAGCCTTGTAACTCCCCCCACTCCCCTTCAGTTACCCTCCAAAAATCAGTAAGACTGAGTCAGGAGGGGCCCTCAGCATTTGGGCCTTACCAAAGCATCAGGCATCTTCTGCTTAGCATGTTGTTTCAGCAAGCAGGTGATGAAGGCACTTGATGGAAGGATGAGGAGGACAAACACAGGGATTGTGGCAGAAAATGACAACTTCCATTTCCCTGCTGAAAAAGAAAAGACAAAAATAATCTTCTTCTGGTGGTATATTTTGTACTAACAATGGGCTCTTATACTCAGCTTTTCTTTCAGAAGTCTCAGAAAACGTTAGGCTCAAGATCCTTGTTTTACAAATGCAGAGGAAGGATCACAGGCTTGGCTAAGATCAGGCTCTAACTCAGAGTCACAGACAGAAATCAATGTTGATACCAGCCAATGCCTCACTGGGAGCAGGTAAAAAATGAAGCTTTTTTCACATATTTTTCAGGATAAATTTGAATATCTTCACAATTTCATTGAGAGAATAACATAAGTACAAGATTTCAGGATTTTCAGAAAATATTTCAGGGTTGGCTTTTTAATTGAAAATATTTCTACAGAGAGCAGGAACCTTTCACTGGAAAATCCAACCAGTCCATGTAACAGAAAGCCTATTTCTTTTTGTTGAAAAGCTAATTTTGGTGGAAATGTTTAATTTGCCCTGATCCCATTTGATGTCTCACCACATCTTGGTCTCAGCAGGGCCATACCTTTGTGGTGTAACAGCACACACACTGGTTCGGAGAACTCGCTGTACTTGAACTCAATGCTTTGGTAGGAGGATCTGGCACTTAAACAGTAGTTGCCTTCAAGTGCAGTGGTGTTGATAGACAATGTTTTCTTCCTAAAGATACCTTCATATTTCTTCTGTATAGAAACAAAAAGAAGACAGGGTTGGAAAGATGATTCTCTAACTTTTTTGCCCATAATTCTCTTCAACGTGTCGTGTGGCCACAGTGGTTGAAAGGCCTGTGGAGAGACACTTCATGTCTCTCTTGCTGTTTATAGCAAGCATCTCTCCTCAGGATTCTAAGGTGGGATTTCCAGCTGGTGCTGTGCTCTGCTGCCCTGGCACACTGTTGGTGGAACCTGAACCAGTTGTTTTAAACCTCAGATATTGCCCTACTATAGTGACTATAGTGTAGCCTCCCTATCCCTGATAAAAAGAGGGAACTACCAATAATATAGGGACGCACACACACACACTCCTCTACTTCCTTTCTCTGCCTTTGGTTTACCTCTGGTTTGGCCATTTAATTTTCGCCAGGCCCTGGAACCAGTCCCACTCTGCCCTGAAATCTGAAGCTATTTCAATTCAAGGTGGGCATCATTCCTCTGTTTCCAAGAAGTGCTACTTTTACTGACCTTGTATTCAGATCCAGCTTGCCACAGGTACAAGTCATAGGTCCAAGGGACACTCTCCACACAGGTGGCCAGAGGGAAGGAGGCATTCACATGGATTAAGTGCTCCTTCACATCCACGTGTAGCACTGGGGGTGCCAGTTCCGCTGTATTTGAGTGACCAGACATAAGAACAGTGCTTGCTTGTGTGTTAGCCTCACAGAAGTAACACTTTTCTGTGACTGATCTACACTTCTGTTAGTTTGTGATAGACATGAAGGAGGGGGGAAGACAAAGGAATACCTGTTTTTTATTTAACATACCCCCTGGTATGTGGAAAGCTGGAAGTGGATTTATTCACCTCGAGCTTGCTACAGAAATTATTTTCACATTATCATGGCTCATTGTTTGTGCTCACTGTGTCATTCATGAAGCTGCCTCTTACTGTTTCTCTTTGTGTGATGTGTGGTATATACATTTACTCATGCCAACACTGTTGTTGGGATGTCCTTCCATCCAGGCTGTCACATAACAGACACTCACCATCCAAGTAGTATTCCTTGAATTGGGATTCTACCCATGGTGATGAGAACTCTCCAGAAACAGCTTTAACTCGAGCCCGGACTTTGACAAAGAGGCTTGGAAGCACACAAGTCAGATTGCAAGAGGTTCTGTGAATATTTTTGCAGTGAGGAATCTTTCTCCATTTGCCCATAGATTCCTTGCTAAAAGAAGAAAAAAGCATCCCATAATTTAAAACATGCTGCTTGTTATAATTTATTGAGCAAGAGAAGGAAGTGGTTTAGATGATGCTCAGTTTGGAGCCCTTTGCAGACAGATGAGGATTTGTTCTGGTGAAAGGATGCAGCCAGGTCACTGATTGTACGATTTTGATTAATTAATATAAAAAGATACTGATTAATATACCTGCACAGATGTTTGCCCTGGGCCATACTTTCAATCAGACACCCTTTGTGAGCACTTACCTTTCATATCTCACAGTGTAGGTCACGTCTGGTGGAGAATCTTCTCCTGGAGCCCATGTCAAAATCATGGCAAAATCCTTTGACAGCAGTGTAACATTTTGAGGAGGGGGAGGTTGAACATGACCTGCTTGACAGGGAAGATGAAGCAAATTATTAATCATATCTTTGATGATAGGAAATATCACCTGGTTTTGACCAAGGTTGTTTAAAAATTTGGGGCAGAGCCGCTCAGTTCATCCAAGACTGGAAATCAGCGATGGAAGCAGGGATGTCTGTGATGTAGCTCTGTTTCCCTCATCTCCTATCAAACATCTTCATCCTAACAGCTTTTAGAATTAGGACCTAAATTTCAGTGAAACATCCTATTCTGTAATTTTGAGTAGCTCTCTCTGTGGTCTCACTGGATTTCCCTGTGACCTGGTTTACAGCCCCCAAAACTCCAACCTGACTCCTAGCTCCAAGTCCCCAGCGGAGGCAGACCCAGCTGGCTCATACCCCTCAGCCCATCCCAGCCCTTCAAA